CTTATAGGTCAATGAATTCTAGTCTATATAACACTGTCACCATAAAAGTCGGTTGACAAACTTTCCATTGAATCTTATAACATGACACTGAGTTGCATTATTTTTTTTTGATGAGAGTGATGATGTTACATTCTGGAATTTAATCGACAGGAAGCAGGTTTTTGCTCATTTTGATACTTGTTCACCCTAACATTAAGGCGTGCCAGTCATCATCTTGTAAAGAGGCTCATTGAATTGAAATTGCGTCATAAATTTTTTTTAAACCAGAGACTACATTTAGATTATTCATGATACAAATGATTCCATTTAGGATACTATGGTGAAAACGAATTTATAGACAGATGATGTATGTTAGAGATTATACTCTCTAACTACTGATAGGAATCTATCGATCAAGTAGGAAATGTGATTATTAATCAATACTTACTTTCATGATACTATCAACAAAAAATAAGGATAGTAAGTTTCCTAAAACGAGTTTTTAAAGTATTACCCGTTTCCTACTGAAACCTTAAAAGTGACCAAATAACTTGTCAATTACAATTTTGGGGGAAGTTAATCTTTAGACAACCAACAGACACTTAGCTTCAGTATGGAAAAAATCCCAATTGAGACATTTAGAAAGCAAAAGGATTGAGCTGAGAGCTTCACCGACCATAAAAGATTACATATGTCCAACACTGGTAGAAGTGGCAAACCATTTTAATGCACTTTTGATAGTTCACATAATCTTGGTATGATCGTTCCCGTAGGCTTGAGTGATCCATATAAACTTTATGTGATGGTACCTTGTTGTTTAAGTCTTTTTAGTGACTCAATTAGTTGTTTCTCAGCTTTTCCAGTCGGATCAATGGAAAATGAAATTTTTTGAAATTTTCAGTGAGCACTTAGTATTCCATTCATCTTCTCTAGGTATTCCGTCTTATTCATGATTACTATTCCAGAACCTTTATCAGGTTTAGTAATTATTATATTATCATTCTTACGCAGGGCTTCCCTGTGTTTTTTTGGTTAGTAAGCTATTTAATTTACGTTTGCCATTTATGTATTTATAGCAACAGTCAACCAGAGTTGATTCAAGACTTTCAACTGCCTCAACTGATGAAGGTACGAAGCCTTCAGTTTGCGTATAAAGGTTTTCGAAATGAACTTGCATATCCATCTTATCAATTCTAATATGGTTATCACAAAACTTAGCGCCAAGGGATAACACTTGCAAATCCAGATCATCAAGGACAACATCTGAAAAATTGTAGACATACCGACCAGGATTTGGAGAAAATCTCATTTCTGACGTTTCGCTTTCCAGGCTTTGTAATAATTTAGCACGTTTCTTTTCTTTCCTCTTGTCAGCAACTCGATTCATGATTTCTTTAAGTGCACTAGGAGCTCGTCCACAGCGTTGACACGAAGGCATCAATGACCCAGGGACGCTCATCCAGAGCAAGGCAGTAAAACCAGACAAATAACACTATATTCTATTTTTTTAAATGTGTTGAGTGAAGTGTAATGGTACCAAGTAGGATATCTGGCTGGTTTTAGGTTAGGTTAGGGAAAGACTAAGGTCAAGATTAGAATAGGGTTAAGTTAACCTAATTAGAGCGAAATTAGGGCTTCCGTTGGGGACAGATAAGGGCCAGGTTAATGAAAGATTACGGTTGAATTAATGAACCACATTCAGTTTTTAACGCAATCGCTCTTTCCATCGTCATTGGTGAGTTCGCGCCTCTTGGGTGTCTAATGTTTAGCTTCGCCCAACTTTACTGAAGGTTATTCGCAACATAAACAGCTCAGTGAGAACTTGTCTGTCTGCAGCATCGAGTGATGAAAGTTCAGATCTCTAAGGAGATATCAGTCCCTTCAAAGTTTTTAGATATGCCCGGATGAAGAGTGCTAATAAGCACGAAATCTAAGTTCAAAGCTTCTAGTTGATTGCCTTAAACTATCTAACTCCAAATTAAATTAATACATCCTTGTGATTAAAAGATATCAGTCCTTTTTTATGTAGATTGCTGACAGTTCATAAGCTTTACTGATGACATAGTTTTCTTAAACTAAATCGGCTAAAATATTATAACACAGTGAGAACATCGAAACTAAAAGTCATTTGAATTATCATAACCATTAAAGTGGTTTCATAAGTGTGAAAAGTTAGAATTCACATCCAACTGATGGAGCTTATTTTCTTTTCCTGAGTTTGAACGTACTACAATTATTTTTGACCTAACTTTAATTCTTCATACATCCTTGCTTTCATTTGGCCATATCACATTTTATGGCATATTTCTTATAAAATATCTAATAATTATGTAGAAACTTTAAATTATAAATTTCTGTCTTTCTGATTTAGCGTAAACGAATAGAGAAATATTTTTCTGAATAGGTTTAATACGTAATATTTTATACCCTTTTGTCAAATGTCCACATGTTTAGACACCTTAATATTAAGAGGATAGTTTAATGATAATAATAGTGAGGGGTGAAAGCTTATATTTCAATAAACCCAGTAGGAAGGTATTTTAGGATAAAATCTAGCTTACTTACTAGCTTGTTTCGAATTTTCTATTATTGACCTGACTTATAAATTGTAGACAGTAACCACAATCTTACATACATCTTTTCATTGAGTCTTGTCAGTTATTTTGATGACATGGGTAGGTAGCTACCTCGGGTTCTAGTGGGAAATCGTGACCAGTAGGGTACAGCAGGTCGGCTGTGAGGAGAAAGTACTCGCCCAAGACATTGGCTAGTGGTTGCGCTATGTCGTGAATTGGCAGAATTTAGAATTCATGGACCATTGGATCAGGTCCCAGTGGCTTAATGGTCTACGAGCACGCCTTGTAACCAGAAGGTCCTGAGTTCGAACCCTGACGGTGGGTGCGTACTGACGAAGACTCCCAAACTAGAACGAAACAGATGTCCAGTACTCTTAGGTGTCCCGATGGTCCTCTAACTCATGTCAGCTCATGATGAAATCATGTAACCAATCAATCAAATCCCTACAAAGCAATACTTGAATATTTTCCTGTGCATGATGCTTTGGCTAATCCATGATTGCGTTATTATAACTTAATCAATACAGTTTTGTTCATATTTATTACATATAACTGCTGAAATAGTCCCAAAGGAAGATCCCGAAATTCCCAGCTGCCGTTAACATGATGGTATGCCTTTCACCGGCTAAAGGTATCGAAAAAGTAGCTAAGTCAGTCAAATGCATTAGGTTAGTTTTATCCTAAATATGCTTCATGCCGTCAAATCTCGACATTCATTGACTGAAAATAGCTAATACGCCACCCATCGCATACCTATCAACTTGTCTAACATATTGCAGAAATATTCAAATGTATTTGACACTAATTAGATTCGTATTCAGACCATAAGGCGGTTACCACTTCCCCGTTTGTATTTTAATCTACAACTTTTGTGCTGTTATTTTCTATGAATAATTGATACGAAGAAAACGCTACAAATTACAAATGATCAACGAAGCTTTTAGGCTAAAGTACTGTTAAATGACCGAAACCTATTAGTAAGGTTCAGGAAACTAGTTTAGATTTAGATGTTAGGTGGCGCCTGAATTCTTTAACGCTGTGATATATACTACTGACAAGAATCTGTGAATAATTTGTTGTGATGTCTTCAACAGAAATTTTGTTTGAACAGCGGCACGATGTATTAAATAGCAAGCAAGAGGAAAGAAAATTGTGAACCAATATAGAAAGTATAAAATGATGATAAATGAATCAGAAAACAAATACTTGGTGCAAATTGGAGTTCCAGTGTAGGGTTGCTATGGTTTACCGTAACTGTATGTAATTTCCTCTGTCTGCCTGTCTATCTTATGTTGCCTCCGTTATATTGTCCCTTCTAAGACATGTTAAAAATCCTTTGTTTGATTACGGCAATGAAAGTTATACCCGTCATTGTGGTGACGAAAGAGGTTTCACCAAAGATAAGTAGAGAATATTGACTGGAAAGCAAATCACCATGTAATAATAATGGCTGGATAAGTTCATACATATAGATGTTTGTACAGAAATACATCAGCTCAACCTGCTGCTTTCAGAATAGAAATATACAAGTAAAGTTCTAAGAAAGAAGTATACTTTGCAAATCATCATAAATCACCAAGTGTCAGTTTTACCGCATTTTCAGAGTTGTCTATTTCATACTTTACTGTCTAGCCTTAACAGTGTTTTCTGTTGAAAAAAAACGTCTCCAACCACTGAAACAAGAATTGCCTGTGAAGGGGCAAATGTTAAATCAACTCTAATTCAGCAGTAGCATGTCAAAGACAGATCAATCTTCCGCTTTCTCCAACCGTAAGCAAAATTTATGGGAACCAGAGAAACAAATTACACTTGACAAAGCTATCAAATGTTGCTTTGCCGAATAGTGTCGCCTATTGAATGACCATCTTCACTTTGTTAGAAAATGCGCTGTTGTATCCAATAATTACTTACAAGTTGACCCTACTGGATGCCAGTAGTCTTACAGAGAGACATTTTATATCAAGGATCTAGATTCTCAGCACAGTGTCAAACTCGGAAAAGTCATGTTCTACAGGTCTAATACAGAAGCATCTGCATGGATATTTGTTTCAAACAAACCTATAATGGTACCGTAAAGGACCCACCCAGATTGTAAATGTCATCTACCAAACCGTCACCACCACATATTCAAACGTCTAGATGTATGAACTTCACGACTATGTCTAACATTCCATCTACAAGAGTAAGTGTATCCACAAATTCATGTACTTTTTAAATCCCTGTCGTCGTAGTGTAATGAAATAAATACCCGATGGGAAGTTATTAACACTGTCATTTTACTTCTTTTTGATTGCAGCATATATATTCAAGCATGATCACCTACAATTACACTTACACAATGAACACAATTACGTTGAGATTTCGAAGTGATTAGACTATACAGTATCTTATAAAAATAAATTCACTGTATGATAGAAGAAAGAAACAAGTGTAAACTCTTCAACTCTTTTATTTTTACAAAGAGTAAATGACGACGAAATAATGATTATGATGATGATAATAAAAGTTAAATGAACAAAGAAACCGATCCACTTAATTAATTACAAACACAGATTATAGTGGCATATATTAGTTAGTATATTTCAAAAATAAGAAGAAAAAGGTAGATATGAAAGTACAGGAAATATGCACAATATACCGTTACATTTATGAATAAGTAAAATTCACTAAAATCGATTTATTTGGCTTTTCACAACTAGTTCACACAGAGTGTGGAAAATTTTGTCTTGAAGATGTTATCACATAAACATGATAAACAAATTTTCTTGAAACTCAGAAGGAAGGGCGGGGGAATATACTAAATAACACTTGAACAACATATCACTTTACAGGAATTTGGTTAAAATTGGTAAAAAAAACTCCCGTTTTCCCATTTATATCACACACACACACGCATTTACATACATGAAGGTGGACGACAGCAACTTGACACAAACGTAAAACAAATGGAAGAAATAAACACAAACATTTACAGACGCTTTTCTATCCTATCGTATCATGCTATTGGTTTTAGCGGGATTACACGATAGAATTTGAGTAAAAAAGATGACTGAAGTAACTGGAATAAGGTTAGAAGAAGGAAAAAAGGAGAGATAATGAGAAAAGACTGTAGTGACAATTTGGTCAAACTGGATGAACTTTAGCAGCATTCGACAGTCGGGGTATTCCACTTTTATTTTTATCTATAAAATGAAAAAGTACAAGAATCAAAAACATGGTGTTAAAATGTAAGTTAAAGATTTAATTTAAACTAATTGTATAGTTCAACCCAATCCAATGCAGCAGGGTAGACAGAATAGAAAATAAAAACACCATTCCATGTCATGGGATACACCACACGACAACATTATATTTGACTGGATGGAGGATTTCATCATGAGCTGACATCAGTTAGAGAACCACTGGAAAACCTGGGAATACTGGACAGCTGTTTCGTCCTAGTTTGGGACTCTTCATCAGTACGCACCCACGGGGTTCGAACCCAGGACCTTCTGGTTACGAGGCGAGCTCGTAGACCATTGAGCCACTGGGACCCGATCCAAATCCCTACAAAACCAATACTTGAAAACATTATATTTCCTGGTAAGTAATTGTTATTTTTGATTAACCATAACTTTGATGTATAATTGATCTTCACTTTCTATATATAAATGACAGTATTTCTCTATTGAAGATGACAGAAGGATAACAGAGAATAACTCATGCTTTTTTATTACTACTCAGCTAGATATCATAGATAATTATTAGAAGTCATCTTCAGACAATAAAGCATTACGTCTTTTTTTGCATGCATCACTTGTCTAAACCACATGATGATATCATTCTCAGCCTATGCGAATCGAATAGCATCTAATCATTATGATTAATTGATGGAAAAGGTATTGGAACTGTAACAACTATGAAAATCCTGACGTGAATACTTTCTATACTAAGAAGACTTCTCTGGACAAAATCCTTCACTTCATCATAGCACGTTTCTTCAACAACACATAAGTAGTTAAACACTGAAGGTATTCAGTTTTTTTAAATTGTTGATTTCCTGAGCAGTTACAATTAATTTAAAGATACAATATTGTCAAGCGTTATTTTGTAGGGATTTGACTGGTCTCAATTCTGATCACAGGTTGATATCAGTTAGAGAACCATTGAAAAGCAGGGAACACTGGAGAGCTGTTTCGTTCTAGTTTGGGATTCTTCAGCAGTACATATCCATGAACCCACCGAGGATTTAACCCAAGATCTTCAGGTTACGAGGCGAGTTCGTTGGTACAGTAAGCCAAATGTAATTATTTTTTTAATCCTTGACGTTCCCAGTGGAACATAGGGCTTCAAGCCAGAGGCCTGAAGTTTCTGTAGCAGTGTTTATTTTTACAGGATGGGGTTGCTAGCCTCATACCCAACCTTTACTTCTTACCAGCTTTTGTTATTACTGACTTAGCGAGGTAAAGGAGTGCGTCGGCCGGGGATCGAACCCCGGACCATGTGCATGGCCGGCGAGCGTCCTAACCGCTGTGCCACCGACGCACACAAGCAAAATGTAATATTCGGTATTAATTATTCATTTCTTTGAAATTAAATAAACATGTACATAAGTATTATTGTTGTGAAAATTTTAAAAATAGACACATTCTAACCACCTAAAAAGTATTTTCACACAGTTATATTACAACATATAGTAGGGTTTATCTTTAGAAGGAAACCAACTTAGTAATAACATGCGTGTTATTCCACTAGACAATAGGGGCATAATTGCTCTAATGAACTTTGATAGCATCTGTCGATCGAAACCTCTGTAGTAGGCAGCTCGAAAACTCAAGACCCACCTTCAACAGTTTATGGTCTAGATAGATCAAGGACTGTCATACAGTTGAAATAATTAGTTGAGTGTTTTGGTGAACAAAATTTTCTCAATATTGAAAAGAGAACCAGATTTCTTCATAACAATTGAGTTATGGGAAAGCATGTTTTTCAAAGTTATATTTAGATAGCTACTGAAAACAAAGAATCAATCTACACTAAACAACTTGACTGTCACGACATCACTTGTAATTACTTAGTTCATTACTTTCCGTACACGAAATTACGAGTTCATATGGATTTAAACTAACACAGATTTTGTAAGTCTTGTTCATTTAATTGTGATAAGAAACCTCATTAGTTTTAAAATTACCGTTATAATTTCACCGGTTAGCCCTGGATACCTAACTGACTGATTGGTTTCAACGTAGAACTTTGCACCAATGTGCAGCAGTTCGAGTTGCCACACTTGATTTAGCAAACAAAGCAAGAGAAGAGAATCAAGAGAGATTCAAAATACAGATGATAAACAGAAGTGTGAGGGAAAAAGAATAGTAGTATCGAAGAGCAATATAGTTTTATTGGATATTATAAATCACAAGGAGTGGATGCATCTGCGCCAGCCATTGAGAACGATTTTGAGTAATATATCACCGATTGTCTCCAGCCATTGGTGTTTACCGTCACGAGCAACCCGACCAGAAAGTCTTTACCTTCCTACGTGGTTTAAACTAACTGTTGTTGATTTCATTGACTGGTGCCTAGATATCGAAAATGGTCCTGTGGACACAAATCGATCATTTTTCACTCGCCAACTCATATTAGCATAGCACCAACACAGAATTTGACTGACTGTTGAATGTCAACTGTACTTGCTTTTCCAATCTCAGACTTGGTTGAAGAAAGTAATAATTGCCGACCACTACATTACTTCTTCAGTGCAAAATCACTAATGCAAGCAAAAACTGTAAACTTTCAAACTTCAACTTACTACTATCTGTAGTGGTTTTAACCTTCGTAAAATGACCACTATGTTTCTCCTGGTGATGTAGACTTCTTGGATTCTCTGTACAACGAGGTATATTTATAGTATTAGAGCCTAATAAGTGAGCTTTCCAAACATCTTCAGGTCCACCGGGAGCAACTGAATCTGGCAGAGATGGAAGATCATGATGACAAAGGGGACAACGTAATCCAGATGACAGCTTTGTAGGTGAACAGTTGTGGGAGTTTAAATGAGTTTTTAACACAGCTTCTGTGCACCGCCGGCAACGTACATATTGTCCAGGAAGACAAGCCTCACACTCTTTGAGTAAATGATCGGTTAAACCAGCTATTTCAACTACCTAAAAGAATAAAATAAATATAATAAATTTTATGCAGTAAGATGTAAAAAGAAAGTTATTAAAATTATTGCCTTCTGCACTATTATTTTGTATGTGAACCTTTATCTTAATGATTTACCTTCATAAATTCAATTCATTTGATGATTATGGGGACTTCTAAACTTTCGTATCAGTGGTAGATAATCTTTCCCAATTATTCTTTACTCCGTTCTACGTGTATCTATTTTTCCATCTGTATATTTACAACCTCTAAAAATGTAATTTCCCCTGAGAATATACGCTACGCTCCTAGGCTATTCAAATACGCTAGGACAAATGTGTCTAAATCCCATTTCATTCAAAGGCTTAGCAAGTTGTCGTATTTTTCTGCTTCAATGTATAATGACACCAGACAACTGTCTAAAAAGGCAGAATTTTCAAACGTGTAAACAATAAGTGGACAGAAAATTCGATATCATAAGTAAGTATATTCGCATTAGTGGCACTTTAATGACCAGTTTTAATGATCATTATGATATCCTTACAGCCAACAGGATGCTCTAGCTACATAGGCAAAGACAATCCTAATAGCTTATAAATGAAGTGACCAAGTATATAGATCAATTGCTTTTAAAATTCAGTTCGATACACAAACAACTAATATCAGCATAAAAGTAATGTGGAAATTTTAAAAAAAACAAATACGAAGAAAACTTCGTTGACAATGCAGAAAAAAGAAGAAAACCAAACAGCATACCTGTTTACAATTAGAGCAACGATGAAGCATTGGACAAGTTTTCCAATAATGTAAATCTAAACCCTCTTCTGTAAAAGATTCGTTATGTTCTCCACAAAATATACAAGTTTTATCTAAACTAAGCAGAAACTCTGCCTCTTCAGTATGTTGATTTGATTGAGTATGAACACTGGGAACTGTAGGATTTTGAGATGATTTTTCATTTTTTTGAAATACTGGTCCATCTTGATTGTTGGAAGTATGATTTTGACGATTTGGAGATACAGAAGAGGGGACAAACTGTGAATTGTGCGTAGGCTTACGGTCATTACTTTTAAATTTTGTAGCAGATTTCCTATCAGGCATTGAAGGTTGTACGTTACGTGGTTCTTGTAAATTTCGTTGATTCACGGCATGATTATTACGATTTCCGTGTTCAACCATAGCGCGGAGTTGTTGGACGTCCGCCTGTAATAAAATATAACAGAATTTGCCTTATTAGACACTTAACTTATCAGAAAATGAACTTACTACACGACGATATATTAAAAAAAATGTCGACTAAGGCTACTTGCAAGTGATAAGAAAATTCTTAACCCATAATTTTAATATTTAGATTATGATTGATTAAAGATGCCCATTAGAAATTTCAAAAGATTGATTACTGAACCAAAAATATTCTTTTCGATAACCTCATCAACAAGTACTACAGTTACATATCCATAATAATGACAGAATGATTGTTATTGATAGCCTTAATGGTTTTTAAAGAGTAACATCGAATTAGACATCACAATTCTAAAAGTTAGATTGTTAATAGATTAGAGTCCAAAATATTTGTGTATGTGGTAATATGTATAATTGTAACACTAAACTGAACATCAGTATTACAAAGCAAATGATTATGAATGAAAACGAATATATGGTAATGAATTAAATTAAATTCTAATCATAGTGATTATAAACTTCAGATGGATGAATGTTCATGTCAAGGACGGGGTAGAAGGTTATGTGCGTTGTATTTATGTCAGTGTGTAAGTTTTAAATAAGAAAACAAAAGGTTAGTTAATGCAAGTGTAATGACAAGGGGTAGGGGAATTTATACGTACTGGATAGAGAGCCATATCAAAAAAAGACCGACTTCATAAGGTATTTATGAATTTGTAGACTCCAAAGAAGGCCTGAGCAGTAATGGTGGCTGGACCTGTTTCTTCTGCAAACGGAGCACCAGTTGTTTTAGGTGAATTCCAATAGCCTCTGCTATTTGGAGTATTCGGTACCTGGATGCTTTTGGCAATTTATCTGTTACCCGATAGATGAGAGAGAAAAATTCTTAAGTGCTGGCTTTGTGGCCGGTTTGGACCAGGTGGTTTGATATCAAACTGTTGATAGTTTTCACTACATCTTTATTTAGCCACACTGGTAAGTGTTCTCGAGCACAATTTGGATTCATTTCAATGCAGACTTCGTCATTAGCTAGAGAGATCGTTGAAAACCAGGGAGCACTGAAAAGTAGTTCTTTTAAGTGATAATGATCACTGTTTTCATATATTTTCTCGAAGGATGAGGAATTTTTTTTTAATCTAAGATACAGTACAAATATTTGGGATTTGTTACTCAAATGTATCCAACTGTTTATAGAAATACAATAAATCACGCAGAAAAATATCAGTTCCTAATTAGTGAAGGTATATTGATCTTTAATAGCTTTGTACAGAAGAATGCCAATAATTAGTTTCAAAGCGTTTATTCCAGATTATATTTGACTGATTCCCATTCGGAAATAAACCTGCATTCAGAGCTTTTGGAAAAGATACAATACAATCGAATGTTCGAAAATTCATAAAACTTAGAAAGCTGTTGTCGAAAATTAGACCATACACTTCAAGCTACTTATAAAATGTTTATAGTAGGCTTACAAATAAAACTAAAATTAAGGAACATGTTTACAACGTATATTCCAACGTATTGCGAAATACGCCCCAATCACACTTATTTGAAGAAACAAATATTGAATCCTTATACATAGCCAAAGTTACCAAACCCTGAACACGCACTTGTATGCTGAGTAATAATACTTGGTGAAATTATAAACTATATTCTAAGTACCATCATTCCTTCATCAGTTGGAAATATAAAATTAATGTCATTACTATTAGAAATATCAATAAATACCCCGAAATTAGGCGAAAAACAAATGACTGACTTCGTAGACTGAAAAACTGTATAAATGAGAGTGTAGACTCATTTTGTAACTGCTCCAAGTAGGCTTATTTTACAACTTGTTTGTAAGTGTGGCGAGTGCTACTGACAAGATTTATCAGTAGTATATAAAGAGACGTTCATCTGCATACAAATATCAAATATCAGGGGAATAGATTTGATTTCAGAGAAGGCAAATGATACACCGTTGTGGAGATACATTGGAGACGTGTAAAGGAACACAAAGAAACACAATATGAAGGCTAGAAGCAGCACAACACGAAGATCTGTGCAAATGGTGATTTGAAGATAAGGTGTGCATAATTTGGCTATATAGACATACTTACTAAGTCTTTGTCTTCTACCGTTACAGTGGTACTATTTTCTGGAAAATTAAGTCATGTGTTATAAGGAAAAAAGTCAAGTGGAAAAGATGGAAGTTATTTTTGACATGTCTAGCCATGATAAATGATATTGAGAAGCTTTAAATAACTGTAAAAACGGATTCTTTTTGTTGCTCATAGTTACATTATTCTGTAAACCCCTATCAACGTTCAAGTGTGACTTAACATAGAAATGTCACTCATCACCACTGGAACTGATTCACTGCCATGGACTAGTTAATGACAGTTAGGAACCTCTATTGATTGTTACGATTTAAGCAATCTCGAACGTTCTCCCCATGGTAAGTTTTGTTAAAAGAAATAAAATGTATTGCATAAAAGGCATGTAAACGGAAGTTAATGCTGACAACTCAACAGAAATCTATTAACTTACTAAGGTATATAAAGTAATGTAAAAGCTATCCAGTAGAAAGACTTATATGAACAGGAAAGTATTACGGATGAAAAAGACATTCAACTTTACCTGAAGAGCCTCAACTTCTCTTTGCTTAGCTGAAGCTGTAATTCCTGGTAGTTGACCACTTGAATGTGCAGCTAATCTTCCATCGATTCTGTCAAATTTCCCAAGTAGCCTTCTGTATAAGGGATGTCTTTGAGAATTGGCATCATCTAAGGGTATTACTCGACGGACAGTAGCTCGATCTTCTGAACGATAGAGAGCGACAATAAGATTTTCGGCTGCCTCACGTACCTTCAAGAATGAGAAACATACGTTAGTTAGGAGGATTATAGAAGACAATTTTTCAGTTGACAGATAAAACAACACAATGTATATACGAAGGGTCATTTATCTGTTTTCAGGTTTAACAATAAGCAACATAATGAAAATCCCGATGAAGAGTAAAGTTTTCCCGAAATAATCCAAATCATCAACCTCCAAGTTATCAAAGTGATGTATTGCTGCATGAGATAACATGACCAACCTACTGACCATATCCCAAGTTTACTTCAATCATCAAAGTTATAATGTAAGGCAATCAAGAAGAACTCACCTCATTTGACCGATGGTCTAAGCATTTAGCCGTGAATATGGTCAGTGCCTCTAATGTGAAACTTCCTTGATTTGCATGTCCGTGTTCATTGAAAACAGGATCTACACCTCGAATAGCATATAATTCTGTTGCAAGTTCAATTCGACTCAAAACTAATCGATCTAATGTTACAGGAGAGAATGGCCGAACTAATTCGTTCCAAAATGTTGTATTCTGTTTCATCTAAAATAATGAGGAAACAGTTGCACATTAATCTCATTGAGAAAATGCTGCAATAAAAAAATCGTATACGTTCTAAAGTAACTACTAATAAGTGTCAAATGATGTAATAAATATTCTATTGGCGTGTAAGAGCTTCTCATCAGAGAAATGCAAAGTGCTCTTGAACAACTTGTAAGGATGTGTACATGCACTCACCTTTCAAGACGAAGTGCCAAAAGCACTTGAGAAGCTAGTTCATTAAGGCAGCTATCATCAAGCCTAGTTTACTAGTCAGTCATAAGCGCTAAAAAAGAAGAAAGGTCAGAAGTGGAGCTAGCAACCTCACATCATAAAAATCTAACCCCATCGCTAGTGGAACTTCAAAGCATAGTAGAAGCAAACTTATTCTCTGTTGGAATAAGAGATGGATGATGCCAGTAGGTTAAAGCATTCGGGGTGCCATTCAGCCAGTGTGTGGTGAGAGCTGTCTACTAGCCAAATTGGTAGACAGTAATTTACGTCAATATTTACGTTCACAAGATTTGTCGCGAGAAACAACCAATCGGAAGACTGTGTTTGTTTACGTATCCATAGTAATGTACATGAAAACATATATAAATATGCGTTGATTTCCTTAATAAATGATCTGTTGCCTGGCCCTTGTCTTCTGTTGTTACAAGTGTATATTCTGATCGCAACAAAAGTAAGCATAGGGACATGGAATGTGTGCACCATCTTTGGAGCTAGCTAGCCTGCTGAGATTGTAGACGAAATCACAAGACATCGTATAGAAGCACTAGAAACCTGTGGAAGCAGATGAGATAGAAAATGACTCTTCAACCTGTTAACCGGATAGTCTATAATCTACATTAGTCACCTAGACAACAACCACGAACACAATAAGGGAGTGGCTATAATGTCACCGAAAACACCGAAGGATCTCATACATTGGGATCATGATATCAAGACTCGACACAATGTACCTACGAACAGGAGAACAGGAAAATCTATAGATAACTGCATGCAGTAGTGGAAAAGACTCCAAATGGCGACATGCTGAGAATTCCATTCTGTATCACAATTACTGTTTTGGAATAAAGCAAATTATTATTATTAATAAGCCATATGAACACCAAATTGGGAGCAAAGAGCATTCGAAGAGAGATCATCATGGGTCTAGAAGCTCTTGACGAAATGAATGAGAACGGAGAACTCTTCGTAGATTCCCGAGTCTCCAATGATTGGGTGATCAGGGACATCGTGTACAAACACAAGAATATACACAAAGTGACAAAGGTTCCACCAGACAGACACACCAAAACTCGGACAGACTTCGTCTCAATGTCACTCAAGAAGGCGAGGACACAGACTGTTGGACACAAAAATCGAGAAGAGGAGCAGATGTGGGATCAGACCGCAGTCTAGTGCAAGGAACACTCAAGATCAAGTCCGAAGCACCCATTTAAGCTGGAGATAGACTACGATTTCAGCTCAACACTGAAGGACATAAACTACGAAGGAGACATTCACTGCAGCCATCATCAGAGCAAAATCGGAAACATTACGTAGCACCACTGAGGACACCTGCGTGGAGAAACACTGGAACTCTCTGAAAGTGATGTTCAAGGAAACCTGTGCGTCGGTGGCACAGTGGTTAGGACTCTCACCGACCATGCACATGGTCCGGGGTTCGATCCCCTGCCGACGCACACCCGATATCTATGGTAGGCCTGAAATTTGGGCTACCGATATCCATGCTAAATTCCACACTTGTACTAAAATACGGTGTGGAATCAAGCTGTAATCAAAATAAAAAAAATAAATAAATAAAATATAGCCATCTTGAAAAGACGAAAAGGTAGGACAAGGAATGGCCCTTTACGGACAAGCGTAAACTGATAGAGGAAAGATAGATAGTGAACCAAAAGAAGGACCAGTGTAAAGATAAACAAAGAAAGCAGACAACGAATATAATCTACAAAAGGCTGAACAAAGGAGTGAAGAAGAGTTCTAAGAAAGACAAAAGACGTACATCGAGGAAGACAATAGTTAAGTCTATTGATCCAGTCGACAAAGATTTACAATTTTATTGATCGACATACTCAGTAACCTAACGTTCTGTATCTAGTGTCAACACTGCTTACTACGTTGATTCAGATTGTGGCAGTAACGTTCAAAAACCCTCAATCGTTCCATGTATCTTCCTTTTGGCGGTCAAATCATGGTCACTTGAACATCACTAACAAATGTTAACTCACTGCATATATTCTTTATCTGACGGTACCACATTATGGAAAACATTCACCTTGTTCAATCCCACCACGAAACATCATGACTGCTGCCATGGTGTCACCATTGGGTGCATCTAATCCTACGGAGTCAACTATGCCTAAATTAAGCTTCTCAGAAATAGTCTACTGTAACAGACCATCCCGAAGTGTAGTTCTGCACATAACAGCTAGTATGTCAAGAAACACAGCTATCCACCCATCGAGTAAATTTCGCAGGTTCACTTCAATTTAGAATTGAAGTGAAAAACTACAAAACCGTAATGCATATATGTCAAAAATTCAATATCCATAGCTTGATTTAACGACCTTTAAAATATTCCCAATCTAATCGTAGTTCGGACGATACTGTTCGTCGAGGAAGGCGGTAGCTCGGTATGCGTTGTGTCCTAGCTATCTCGATCGATAAAGCCTCATATATTTGTAGACTGACTATCCCCTCATACCTATCACATTATGCTTAAACTCACTGTCATTAGGCATATCGCTTCACCCAATGCAAGAGTCTGAACGCAGACAATAATGGCAGAAAAGAGCTTAGCTCCTCGTAACTTCCACTTTCAACGACCATGTCTAATGGACGTAAAGTAGGAAGGAGGGAACTGATGAGGAATACCCACGTCCTTTGATCGATGGCCGGATACCACGTCTAAGCCAGAGACACTGTAAGTTAGGAAATACATACGATCTTCTTGCATGCATGTTGAGATTTTATTAGCAATCAGTCTTATAGTGAAAATACCTCTTCCCAAATAAGCGAAATGGTCAATACACTAAACCACTTCACTTCCTATCCTTAAACTAGGTGTTGATGCAGACCATTCCTGAAGCATCATCTTACATCTGACAAGAGCAAACCGCATGCAAAAGATATTCATACTTTGCCTAGAAGATTCAACACTTAAACAGAGTGAGGACAATAAACCAACTAGATTTGCCTCAAAGTTAACCAAGGTTACATCCATCAATACATCTGTAATAAAATTAAGTCAAAGTGGTAACAAGCGGTATATCTGACTGCCAACACTAGTTCCCATCACTAAATGGCATTTCTCCATACGCTCTTTCACACCTACATGAGTTCGGGTAGAATACCTTTACTAACACGATATCTTTTCTCGGCATTCCTTGTACAGCTAAAAATCGCCACAGCAACTTTCAGTTAACACGATCGGATGCTGACTTGAAGTTAAGAAATAGTGTGTAAATAGTTTATTAGTTATTACTTGAACGCAAACATGGTACAATATGGGCAACAAGAGATGCGCCATATAAACTCAATAAAACCATATAATAATAAGAATAAATGATGGACACCATTAAAGTAACAAGGAAGCATTTAAAGTGTAGTTTATTACTTCATGTTACTTTTGGAAAGATAAGAAAGGAGGAAACCCCAGCCTGTTCGTCACTGATTACGATTCCTAGCTACATCTGATAACATCTCGAGTCAGTGATTGGAATTATCTCTCGGACCACAAAAAGGGAGTAGTGATGCATCAAAAGCTGGCTGGCTGGATTCAACATAGAACTTGGCACCGAAGTGCAGCAGTTCCAGTTGCTACGTTCCAAATACCACACAAAGGTAGACAAGAAAATGAGTGAAGAGAATCAATAGAGTTTTGACAAGTATAAGAGTGAAACAGAATGAGTAATGGTAGAAAGGAATATGAAAGATTACAGAGACTGAATACATCTGCGCCATTGACAACGATTTTGAGCCATGTCACCTATTGTCTCCAGCCATTGATTCTTAGAGTCCCGAGGGCCCCAACCCGGAAGTCTGCATCTCCCTACCTGACTCACTTTAACTGTCAGGGATTTCATGGATTGATGAGGCCATGTTTTTGTTTGGCCACCACTTACTCTTTTCCAACCTGCACCTATAGCAGCTAGTAATGCCCGTCGGGGGAGGCGATGGTTAGGCATGCGCAGCACGTGACCTAGCCATCTCAATCTATGTAACTTTATAGCCTCTTCGATTGATTTTCCCTCTTTGCCCAACACTCTACGCCTAACGTCAACATTACTTACCTTATTATACCACCTAAAGCGAGAAAGAGATCGTAAACATCTGTGGTCAAAAACAGACAACCTTTTCATGTCTTCAACTCGTATTGGCCATGTTTCAGAGCCATAAAGATTGACGGAGGGAACTGCTGAGCAGTACACACGTCCTTTGGTTGACAGCCGGATGTCACGCCTACGCCAGAGACGGTGTAAGTTAGCGAAAGCAGCCCGAGCTTTTTGGATCCGTGCTGAGATTTCGTCACCAATCAATCCGTTGGTGCTGATACAACTTTCCAAATAGGTGAAGTGGTCAACATGTTCTATCACTTCACTCCCTATCACTAAGCTAGGAGTTGACGTAGTCCAGTCCTGTAGCAGCATCCTACATTTTACAGGGGCGAATCGTATGCCAAACATACGAAGATTGCTGCTCAAGGTGTTCAGAAAACTCTGCATTTTGTCAGCATCCTCCCTTAACAGGACTATGTCGTCTGCATATTCTATGTCCATAAGTCCATCAAAAGATGGTAACCTAACAAAACTATTCTTCATCCCACGACATCAAATGAGGAACTGACCACCTCCCCGCTTTTTCCAATCTGTTCTAGGGCTAGAAAACAGTGAATAGTATGAAAGCCACTGGAATGACATTCGTAGTGCATCTCCAGCCAGCGACACCAGTGTTTCAAGATGACAACATTTATTGGAAATAGAGTACATCATTAAAATGTAGTTCGGTTGCTTCTTTAGGAGTTCTGTCAAATGATACCTTTTTAGTTAGGATTTAAGAACAGACAAAGTCATTTGGGATGAAAGTTGTGAATAGCTATCTATTCAGCTAGAACAAGTATTCCCGTACGAATAGTCTCGTATGCAACAATCATCTTTCCCTTACAATTTAATTTATTACTGAAGGTCACTAAAAAGCGATTCGGAATGAGAAAGGAAACTGATCGAAAAAAAGACAAAACATTACGATGAACAACTTAGAGAAAATACTGAAGAAAACGCACTAACATAAATAACATGGGCATAAAAAGTGCTAAAAAAGGATTATACTAGAAAAAGCAAAACTAAATAACCAATAAACAACCTGTGGCCACTGGGCAATCTCCAAAATTTTCCTTTTAGCTATATCTCTAATACGTGATGAAGGATCACCAGTACGTTGGAAAATCACTGGGGTTAATTTATCCATACAATAATATAAATCTGGTCGTGGAATAGAATATCTATCAGCAAAATCGACAATAGTTGATTTGATAAACTTAGTGGCCAAACGAAATATCGACAAGACCTGAAAAGAAAGATGGAAAATAACAGTGCTAGCTTGTATACTGGTACTGGTATATGACGAAAATATTACACAGAAAACAATACATTTCTGAAATCAAAGTTTGAGCAGACTACTTACGTTGCACAAACAGACGCAAAAAAATAATACTGTTTCACTGTGTGATACATCTAATAAACAAACCAATATGGAAAAATAGAAGTACATCAAGTACAAGTGGTAACTGTCATTAGTGCTAGCTCCGGAGCTTTACTAGTAGCATCTTCAACTGTCAATTTTTAGCTATCCCTAAAACTAGTTACACCACCAGTGGTCAATGAGATCATTAATATACTACCTTATAGAAAGGTGTCAAATGACAACACAACAATCGAGTGTTAGTTGTCGTAATGTCTATTTACAACCCTAAAGAGAAACAGTATAATACACCTTCATCGATTTTAATAAAATTATGAACGCTTACCACTAAGAATAGCCATAGTTCTTCGCTACCTCCAAATATAAAAAGTAGTCTACGGGAAAAAGATTTTGTAAGTGAGAACTGTACAACCAAGAAGTGAGTTACCAGTTAGGCGACAATATCGGTCACTGTAGTTGACACAATTCCTGTAGAAGGTATAGATCTGATGGAAAACCTATAGACAGTTTCATTTAACTTATAACAATAAGTAATGAGCACAATAAAACGCATCGTCATCGAACAAAGCATAGAATGGCAGTCAAACCTGTACCTTAACTTCATCGACGCCTTCGATAGCGTTGACAGTGAAGTAATTTGGAAACCGCTTCAACACTGTGGCGTGCAGTGCCTAAATCTTTATCAACCTCATTCAACGGTTACATGGCAATACCTCGTGCCAGAAGATCCACAAATGAAAACTCAGCGGAGAGTTCGAAGTGAATACAGGAGTAAGACAAGGCTGCTACCTATTGTCAGTGAGGACATTCCTAATTGTGGTGGACCGGATTATGCATCAGATTGTGCAAAAGGAGTGAGAAGACAGGAATACGTTGTACTGACCGATGGGAAGACGCTAGAAGATCTGGATTTCGCGTGTGGATGATTTATGTTTAATGTCACACAAACTCGAAGAATTGCAGACAGAAACCAACAAACTGGTAGAAAAGGCTCGCAGCGAAGACAGGACTCCAGGTGGTGATGAAGATGACCAACCAACAGTGACAATAAACAGCACCAATCATCATCAAAAAGAGAAATTCGAAAGAGTTCACCTCATTCACTTATCTAGGAAGCATTGTTTCAACTACAAGCAAAAGAGGTGAGGATGTCAAAGGCAGGATCATAAAGACAAGACAGTCATTCATCTCTCTGAAATCAGATCTCAATGGCGCAGATGCATCCACTCCTTGTGACTTATAATATCCAATAAAACTATATTGTTCTTCCATATTACTGTTCTTTTTGCCTCATATCTCTGTTTATTGTCTCTCTTGAATCTCTTTTTACTTTCTTCTCCTGTTTTGTGTACTGCATGAACGGAGAGTGGCAACTCGAACTGCTGCACATCTGTGCAAAGTTTTACGTTGAAACCAGTCAGTTAGTCTCTGAAATTAATTTGGAAATCCGCACTCAGGCAGCGTAAAGAAGAAGATACGGATTTTCAACACAAATGCCAAGTCAATTCTATTATATGAGTCAGAAACTTGGTGCCCGCATCACGAAAAGCATTTCCAACAAGTTACAGACTTTTATCACCAACTACATTCGCTCCATGCTGAAGATCGAATGGCCAGAAAGAATAAGCAACAAAAAACTCTGGCAACAAACCAACCAAGAGCCGATCGCTCAATAAATTTGTAGGAGAAAGTGGACATGGATCAGGCATACGTTGAGGAGACTGCCGAATGACATCGCGCGATGCAGGCCATCGCTCGAGTGGAACCCGAATGGGAAACGACAAGTTTTGGCATGCGTCCTAAGGTGACATGGAGGAGATCGTGCGAGAAGATAAGAGATTATGGACAATCGTCGGCCCAGCTGAAGAGGATAGCAGTAAATAGAACAATGTGGAGATGTGTTGTTGAAGCCTTATGTTCCACTCGGAAACCAAGGGAATAATAATAATAACAATAAAACGAAGTGATTAACTCATATAAGGTGATGTTACAACAATTAAAAAACAAATACTGAATATTTCTAGAACTCGAGAAATTTTCACACCTGGTCGCTTAATGCCCGCCGTAAAAGAAATGTAGTGGATCGGATTTCTGCTTTCGGATCAGGGTTCGCCAGATCTGGCAGTGATGCTGGAGGAAGAAGCTTTGGTGCGGTAACACGTTGTTCTAATTCAAGGAGAGCTTTTTCACGAAAAACCCAGGATTTACTATAGGCCTTCGTAACCTGCAGACAAAATTATTAAAAAAAAAAAAAAAAAAACAGCTGAACATCATGCTAAAGTTACTGTATTCAAGGGTAAGACGAATTGGTATGTGAAAAAGCATACTTGTGAGCTTGGTTAACAGTATAAAACCACCGACTACCTTTTCAATACAAAATATTTGTTTTAAATTCTTTCAAACTATACGTAACATACATACACAATGAAATCAAACATTTCTGAGGGGATATAAGAATAGGACTTGAGCACTGTGATTGAGTATAATTCCATTATGGAAAAAAAATGTATTTGATAAAGTCTCATGGCGTCATACAGTAATATTTACTGATGACGTTTCGAACATAATTTATTGCTCATATCCCCATAGACAATATCGTTATCTTTGATTTCAAAATGAAGTGAGCCTACAGAATCCATCAGGAATGAGAAAGCTGTCTTTCTTGATGACCTGGATTACGGTTGGTTGTCTCTGGCGATTTTCTTGTCAATATATTCAACTGCATTTCCATTCAACATCACGTTGACCTGACATTTGAATGTTTCATCACGACTTATTCTTTATCGATCGATAAATTTGACCTACATCAATATTTCTGTTAATTGATCAGAATGCTAGGCCTCCTGGAATTCCCTAGGGTTCTTTGTGTTTCCTCATTCTAAGAATTTTACATTGTCCCAGTTAAACTGACGTCCATAGCTGTCCACAGGACTGACATCGACGAATGTATATCACGTAGTTTGACTGCTAATTTGTGATCATGGATCCAAAGGTGAAGCGAAATCCTGCTTTGCCTAATGTAGTTTTTCACAATCTATGTAATTTGTTTAACAAATGAGGTTCGTTTTATCTTTTTCACCGCTGGGTCTTTTAATTTACATAGTATGCAGTGAAAAAACCATGTTGCTTTGTGACGGAAAACAATTCCATGAGATTTCGAGAATGTCCTTCATGTAAGATAGGCCGACTTTTCTTGTCATTTCAAAGAATGATTTTCTGTTGGTCATTTGATCTGGACGCAGACATTGTTTGATGAGGTCTAGGGGGGTACCTACTTTTCTTAAAGACTATCAAGAGATGTCTTCTTTTATACTCATCAAGACAGAAGGAATGTAGTGTCCCCTGGTTCTTTTAAATAATTTTTTTACACAGCATCTGATGTGTTGTTGGATAGAACCTATTGTAATTGATTATGAGATGACTTTCTGTAAACTTATGTTTCAAATCTTCCAGTATTTGTTTGTTTGACCAATATGTCCAAAAATGAAATTTCGCCCCCTGGTTAATCTTCTCTTGCATACCTAATGTTGTTGAAAACACTCTTGATTAAGCTGTGAGCACTTTCTAGGCCATTTCTTTTAATTATGAAAAACACCATACAAGTAGTGTACGCAGATTGGTAGGACTGTAGTTTCTAGTCTTCACATAACTCTATCAGTAATTAGTTATGATACAGGTATTCCCAATGGCGTTCTTTTCATTTTTCTGATATGTTTAACTACTGAACAAGACATAAGATTTCATTCAAGTTGAACACTGTATTTCTGCGTGTTCAAAGAGGTGTTCATCACTATTGACTAGTTCTTTCATTTCATCTCTATCACTATATCAGACAGAACATCAAATACAAACCCTCAATGACTAGATACACAAAGAGGTTAAATATGACACATAAAAGACTGAAGACTATTTCAAAAAACAATCAGTTAACACTTGAGTAACTAAATCACTCAGTTCTTAGTACATCAACAATAGAGCACACATTCAATGGCAAAAATTTATGACATTTCGAAAGTGAAACTTCACAGAACGTCTAAGTACAACTGCTTAATTTATGTCATTAAATAACAATAAAAACACCTAGTTAGGTATTTATGAAATCCATAATCATTTGGAAATTAAAAACGTTCATACTCTAATGTACGGACAAGCTGATGCCACATGGGATAATGTAACAAAACCGGGTATATCGCTAATAATTTCAGTGTCAAACAAGAAACAGTCCTTCTAGCCAGCAAAGAGTATTGATGACATACAGGTTTCACTGCTAGCCACCACTTATCAAGTAACATAACAGTTGAAATCAAAGGCATCACCGAAGAAATATACCAACAGAGACTAATCGCTTTCACCTAATAAAAACAAAAACGAGGAATCTAAACCTTGAAGATACTATACAAAATATGTAAAACAAAAGTAGTGTGATTCAAACCTGCTAGCGCTGACTGTAGTAATGGAACAATTACCTCCTACCAAGCAAATCCATTGGAGAATTGCCTACGATTCCTGTGACATTAATTTTTACGATCTTGTCACTATGCAGTTATACCTATGCAACTACAAAACTACCAAAAGCGACACCCAACGAAATCACTCCTGATATCCAACTCAACCCACACATTTAATAAGATAGCTGAATAAAATGTTTTACAATTGTTTCAATTATTACTAGAAATATAGGTTTAAGAATATTCTTACAAGATTAATTCCAACAACATCAATGGCTACAACAGCCTGACGTCGGTTGGTTTCACTCATTGGTTCAGGAAGATCAATAATACCGGAAGGATAATTTTCTTCATTTTCCAGCACACGTCCGTGAGCCGCTTGTTGCAAGTATTTCATAGTTTGTTCATCTTCATACGAATCTATATCTCCAGGAATAGGCCCATTTAAATCAACTGGTATATGCTCAGAATGTTGTGAATCATCATAAGTTTCTTCATTACGTACTGGAACCGAAAAATCTGATGTGTATGGTTCGACTTCAACTCCACGTAAAGGTCTACCAATATCTTTAAATCTGTTTTTAAGTGCTGGCAAAGGACGTTCATCGGGGTCAATCGCGGGATATGCACGACGAAATGGAAAGTAGTCAGAAGATTGATTATTGTTATTACTGTCAAATGATTCATCATTTGGCCAGTTTTCATTTGCATCACCTGCTGTCAATATACTTTGAAAGCGTACTGGTGGTATTCGTTTCACTGAAATCCAAAGAAATCAATATTTTATGAAACAGTCTAGGAAATTTATAAAAATAATATCTGATGCAGAGCGTGAGGAGCAGCCTTTGTGCAAAAAAATTGTCTTTATCTAAGAGTCTTTATGACAAGTAACTGCTACAAGATCTAGTCAAAATAAAAAGTATATTGGAAAAAGCAGTACAACCTTACTACTCTCTTCATTACACTAACTGTAAGCGTTCGTCATCAGGACACCCCACAATAGTACGAGCAATTTACATCTTACCAGTAATTGATTTTGGTTTTCTAGCTATATAGTCGACTTTTTCAGCAGGATAAGACCGATACGGACAATTGTTCTAGGCAGTGTAGCTCATTGGGTGGTTCACTGAGATGTGCCAGCTCAAACATTACGTTTATGTAGTAGTTATTGGTTAGGAAAGTCAAACTCCGTCCATTATTATTATCATATTTGCGCACATACATGTAATCGCTGTTGGGGCTAGACTAGAACGCTCTCGTACAAATTCAGTCAACAAATAAACGTTATGTAAGGGAAAATAAAGCGAAAATCTACAATCCCAGTGATACTTTTTTTTCATTCACTGATTAATAAGTTAAGATTGGCAAACAGGTCATACAAATAGACGAAAAAACAACAAGGTTTAGGTCAGTCAAATCAAATTCAAAAACACCAACATATACTCAATCAATACACCCTACTATAAGTTACATAAATACAGATGAAATATAAGGTATGAAAAGTATTCGCTAATAGCTTTGATTAACAACAGTGCAACATGCCTGAATGCATCCACTTATAAGCGATAAATGGGAATCAAATTGAATTAAAATCACATACAAGCCTACTTACTTTTGTTTCGTTCGTTGCTCTGAAACAAAGAAAATAACTTTATGTAAATTCAGATGATAGGATAATAAGGTAATAAGCTCATCGATTTACATCACTAATATTCAAAACTTGTGCGTCGGTGGCATAGCGGTAAGGACGCTTGCCGACCATGCACATGGTCCGAGGTTCGATCCCCGGCCGGCGCACTCCTTTACCTCGCTAAGCCAGAACTAAAAGCTAGTGAAGAGGAAAGGTTGGGCATGAGGCTAGCAACCCCATTCTGTAAAAATAAACCCTGCTACAGAAACTTCAAGCTAGAGGCTTGAAGCCCTATGTTCCACTGGGAACGTGAAGGAATAAAAAAAAATATGAAAAACTATCGACTTTAACAGTTTACCTCATCAGCCGATGAGCCTTCAAATCGACTGTAAATTTGTTCCTGGTCTTCTGCAGACAATAATTTCATTAAATCAATATCCCGATACAAGTTTGCACGTATTTCAGTCATTTCATTCTTCTTTAGTTTCGCCTGCTCGTAATTTTCTTCCTCAACGGCTTGTTGCTTTTCAAGTGCTAATCCACCGAGGCGCTCGCCAACCTAAAATAAAATTTTAAGACATGTCCACGTTTAAAAACAACTCCGGAAATGATACAGACGTAAATTTGTGTAGGTATATGTAAACAAAAAAACATTAAAATAATCAATGCACACAAGCATGTTAATGTATTCAGACACAAAGAAACACAACAGAAAACACATGAAGTGATACAGTAACACAACAACGTGTAGGAGAAGTCGACGCTCGTTGAAAGTGTTGCTTTAACTTCTTTTAAAAAAAGTAATGATCGGAAAAAAAAACAGGAACTTGGGAGAATGCACTTCAGTTTACAACTATGCATTTATCTTTTAATTTGTTTAGCGGTTACTTTTCAGTAGTAGTTATACAAAGGATGCCAAACCTACTGATATGCACATTACCTAAAAACTATTACCCAGAGATACGTGAGCTATAGTGTATCCCAATAACTTTGGTAGATATTCAAGTGTTGGTTTGCAGGGATTTGATTTGATCGGATACAGGATTTCATCATGAGATGATATAGGTTAAAGGACCATTAGAAAACCTGGTGAGTACTGGATAGCTGTTTCCTTCTGGTTTGGGACTCTTCATCAGCATGCACCCACCGGGACAAGGACAGTTCAAAACCAGAACTTTCTGGTTACAAGGCGAGTTCGTAGACCATTCAGCCACTGGGACCCGATCCAATGACCAGTCCATGAATTCCCACTTCTGCCAATTCACGACATAGCGCGACCGCTAGCCAATGCCACCGGCGAGTATTTGTCCTCATAGCCGACCTGCTGTAACCAACTGGTCAAGTTTTCCAATGGTTCTCTAACCGATGTCAGCTTATAACGAAATCCTGTAACCAATCAAATCAAATTCCTGCAAACCAACACTTGAATATCAATCTGATGCCCACTAGGTAGTTATCTGGGTTTTAGTGAGAAATCAGTTACCATTCCCGACTTGGTGATACCTTTAGAGTGTATGCTCAATTCAAAAAATTACGAATCAAAACCGTAAGAAAAGATAAACACATGACAAGCAGTTGGTTAGTATACCTTGTTTCATATCATTATGAAAACAAGCCCCAAACCCGCAAGGTAAGTATGTACACAAAAGTATATTATATCATGGCAATCACTGAAGTCAAGTAAGCGTTTTAAACAACTAAACGGTCTTGATGAGTTTCATTTTCTCCTTCTAAGCAATAAAAAATCATTGAATTTATACATTTTATCACAATTTGAGCTCTTAATTTCACGCCACATCCTGACTTTATGCATCATTACCACTTTGAATGGTCTAACCGGAATTTATGTGTAACATCCTGACGGCGTTCGTAAACATTTGTAAAGTTTATGCACCTATGGGGTAACCACATCCATGTATGTGTGGTGACTAATGGACCTCATTAATTAACTGCAGTAATTTAAATTGGTGTCATAGTGCTACTTACACTTATATAACGTTGCATATATGTAAACTGAATGAATAGCCAATTTCCTCAGTAGTGTGACATGTTTACTTCAATTATACTTAAATTTAGTTACATTTACTGATGCTTACAACCTCATTGAAAACACTAATGACATGCGACACAACTTTTTATAAATTTAGCTTACAAAAACTGTGCAACTGAATTACTTCAACAAATGAATATGTTTTCCTTTGAACAGTTTTTAAAAACAGAGAAGTCAAATTAACTTTATCGAATTCCACGCTTTCATTACTATATCACTCAGATGTTATTCACTGTTGATGAAATAATCTGAGATAATCTTTGTTGAGTAGAGAGAATATCAGTCCAGTATTAATTTTGTGGAAATGACAGGTCAGTCACGATTAAAACCGAATCAACACCTCTGAGTAGGTGTTCTTTGAGTTCACAAAAAAAAACTTTAGCAATAAAGTATAAACCATTGAGACAAATAAATCTACATTATGTGTCTTTACTGCTTACAATCCTAACTACAAAAACTATAATTCTTAAAATGAAATAAAATAGACAAAAACTAAATAATAGGATATACATGGCAGAAATAAACCACAAACTTTCATGACGGTTCCCTTATAATATGAGTAATGACCAGAGAATTATCTAGTATAAAAACAAACGGCACTAATGAACAGAACTCTTAGCTAACAGATTTTATACGCACAAATCTGTCATTCACTAACAATACAGACTCAGAAATAATGGAATAGTCCCCTGAAGATGCCACATCTCACATCGACAAATACCGAAGAGATACTTAAAACAGAACCGCATCAACACATTTACAGATTTTCCACCATGCTACCTGACAGGAGACCCCAAACTTAATGAACAGTACTCACAAAATTACACACATTCTTTCTATACCGGGAGTTCAAGTTTAAACAAAATCAATGTATGCATATAATGACAAAGGAGTCACATAATAAAGGCAAGGGGTGAGTGAGATGATGAGTAACCAATAAATTGGATAACTATGTGCTGAGTTCAACTCAAATCATAGAAACAAGACACATGCAAAATTGCATTTTATCCAAGGGGAGGTGAAGTTAAAGATAACGATTGCGCAATCAAATGAAAGGGAGAGTAAAAACATCCAGTTATCAAAGCAAGGAAAGACTGATAACCGTCTCTTTCTGAACACAGAAATCGGGTTTCAGGTGTTTGATAGAGATCGCTTCGACAAACTGGAGGAGAATTGAGCTCGTTTGTCTATTGATAATTTTAAGAGATTTTGCGATTGTCACCTCTTAACCCGTATCAAAGAGATGTTTGGTAATGGCACTATTGTAAGCGTTTGTCCCCTTGAGACGTAGGCTTTTCGGTACATGTTCAGAAAATCGGAGGTGTGCCCTTCTTTCTGTTCTCCCAATGTAAATGCTCCCGCAGATACACGTAAATTTGTATGCACAGTTAGAGTTAACTTGAGAAGGGTATCTGTCGACCTTTAATTGCACCAAAGAGCATGTTGTCCAATAGGCGGAAACCAACTTAGCTGCATGACAGGCTATGGCTAGTGAAGTACTCAATCTTCTGTTGACTATTGCTGCAATATTTTCACCTTTAGAATCGAGTTGAATGAAGACAGGCTTTTTCTCCACTATGATTTGTTTGACATTTGATATATATATATATATATATATATATATAGTTGTACATCTTGTGGATGAGTCACTGAAATAAGCAAGTCTCCCTAGATCGTCTTTCGCTTCAATGACTAATACATGTCAATTAGTCGTTTTCTCTAGTTATTACAACCAAAGCAACTGAATGATTTTAACATCATACATTGAATCAATTATATATCACCATCATAAATGTTTTGTATACCTGGTTCGCTTAATTTATTTGAAAAAATGGAGAATTGGAGATATCTTAGCTCACCTGTTGCAGTTGGATAATGGCATCTCTTATATTTTGAGCTTGATCGAAAAGTTCAGCTAAGATAATAAAAATATAGAAGATATACTGAATTTATTTCTTGAATCTTTCCACAAGTAGATGATTAAGAACAATACAATACTTTCGTTGTTATCTTCACTTTTGTACAAAAATCAGATACACTTTTAATATCTAAAATACAATAAATACTGATATTTATAGTCTTTTCTTAATCAGAGACATGAAGAATTTTGAATAGGACTCCTGGTGTGGTAAGTGCTACTTATAATCAGATATAAGTAGTGTATCAGTGAACGAACTCAGAAGAGTAAAAATATGTTTTGGGCACTGGAAAAAGCAATCGAGGAAGAGAACTATGAGAAGAATGTTACGACACTGTGCAGAATCCAACAAGCTAATAAATGTGGTGATATTCGACCATTTCGCAAATAATGTGCAAATAAAGAGAAAAGATATACCAAATTTATGTACCTATGATGCGTCTGTCCTTCGAGCCTCATCGGTCTTTTCTTCTTTACAATTGGCACTGATAAAAATCCACGTGTCAATGAAACGAAATACCTCCATATTTAGAGTTCAATAACTGAATATTTCAAACAGTATATCAATAATTTTGTATTTTTCTTCACATAGTTTAAAATTGTAGAGATAACTTCATGTCTTGCTGATAAATTATCTTCTTTGTTACTTCAATATGCTGGACCCACTTTATTTAAACTAGTGAAATTAATGAGGAGAATAAAACCCAGATAATATCAATTCGTCCCAAATTAGTTTAGTAAGACTAGTCATTTCCGCTAGTCTTCAGTGAATAGTCTAGATTTATTCTGAATAGGTGTCCAGTATTTTTAGATAATGACAATCACTATCCAGACCGGTTTCTTTTATTAGAGTGATTTAAATCACCTGGAAGTTTAGATTGTAGATAAAGTGAAGAGGCATTACCTTTCTTCTGTATTTCATACATTATATTCGGTTTTTAATAGCCCTCATTAGTACTTGGGATTGATTGCAGTCGTGAATTCAATCTATCCTCATTTCAGTTGCAATTTTTAGCAACAAAAAAACGGAAAATAAGTCGCAATATTTTTACAATGGGCTTTTAAGATTGTTGTACACAACTCCATTTTAGTCTTTCGTAACGAAATCTACTTTGATATCAATCAAATCTCAACAAATCAATCTTTGGAAATTATCCCACTGCTCATTAGTCACCAACCACATTATAGACTTCCAAGAGTTTCAATAACGAATAGTGGGCGGCGACGTGTCAACCAAGTTGGATGTGAAGGCAACACTGTACGACAGTTGAAGGCGTCTCACAAATTACAAGATTTACAACTCATGAACACCACTGGATTCTAGTCAATTGGCTGAAAAATAACATGCTCCCTACACAATCTGGAGATCATAGGCTCGATCCCTGGCAGGTTGGTGGGCGCGCACTGCTAGAGGGTTTCGAGCTACAACGAAACAGTTGTTCACTTCACTCCAATTTTTACCTGCTTTCCAAACAATGATAGTAAAAAAAACCTACCTTAGAGGCCAGTATATTTAAATACCTCAGCAAAATTCTGCCTATCTTAACGTTCCACATGATTTTTGTATTTCAAAGAACGACCAAAATGTACGGACAAAATAACGCACCTTTAACAGCCACACGTTTCTGCTTTTCTAGTCTTCTTATTATATTGGCGACTTCAGGGTCCTGGTACATATCAAATGCCAAGTCTTCTGTAGGAGGAATGTAATCCGGTCTAGTGAAGAAAAGATACAAGACAAAAAAGATGTTATTACCGTAGCACATCTAGCATCTAAATGTAACCATTATCATAACAACTTAATAACTTAATTAATAAAATAAAATCCAAATATTTCGACACTTGTTTGCTCCATTTTCTGACGTATTTCGCTATATGTGTCAAGTTCTCACTATCTGAATAACAAAAATAATTGGTATTGTAGTTGTAACACAGGGAGAACCGTTTTTTCAGGTGTAGAAACCTATAAATACATAGGACTGGAAAACGACCGCTGAATAATATGATAAAAAAAGTATTTGACGGTGTCAATATAAAGAGCAGTAATGTAACTTTAAAATCTAGCTTAAAACTTGTGCACATGAATAGTAATTCGGGAAAATTATAAAAAGTGGTGGAAACTATCAAATAGAGATTGATGACATAGGATGTTGAGTTACTCAGTGACAGTTGTCACATATTACCAATGTACACGAACTGAAATTACAAAGCAGAATTTAACGTAAAACTGCAGTAGTTCAAATAAATCCACTTCACAATAATACATAGAAGTAGAGGAAAATACAAAGAAAGTATAAAAATTAGAAATGTAAAGAAGAGAGAATAAATACGTGGAGTGAATTCATCCACACCATTGAAGACGGTCAGGAGTCAGTCCACCAGCTACTGGTCCTCAGAGTTTCGACCAACTCAGTCAAACAGTCCACACACACTCCAACAGTTGAAGATTTCGTCGATTAACGCCAGGTTTTAACCTGACCACTTCTAACTCTTTCCCGGATTATTCCTATGTCGACTACAATTGCTCGATGAAGGCGACAACTCGATAAGCCTAACACGTGTCTTAGATACCTCAACCGATGCAGTTTTACAATCTCATCACAACTGACTCCCCTTCTTACTTAACAATTTATGCCTAATTTCAATATCACTCACTAGGCTATACCATTTAACACGGTAGACAGAGCGCAAATATTTATGGTCAAAGACAGATAGTTTCTTCATATCTTCTACTTCCAAAAGCCATGTCTAACAAACGTAAAGAACAACAGCGAATCTTACACCAGATATACTGAGATTTCTGCTTAAGGTGATCAGAAAACTCCACACTTTGTTAGTGTCTTCACTTAGAACATCACCTGACTGCCTCCTGGTAACACGTCAATCCTTGAATCACTAAAGTGGACCACGGTCACATTAATTACTATATATGTGATGAAATTAAACGAAGTGGAGACAGCGGGATTCTCTGAAAAACACCGCTGGTTGTAATCACTTCAGACGACACCACTGTCATTTTAACTGTAGTGTCTAGACTAATGCGATATACTTCCAACACACCCTTCACGGAGGGGAATTGTCACAGCACTTCTTGCTTGGTCAACAAAGTCAAACACCGCCTTCAGGTTAAGAAAAACGTCGTGTTAGACGCCGGTAATTGTGCCCATGATTAAGAGCCTTACGAAGGGTGAAAATATGACCAATACACCCTCATTTCAACCCAAAGACTATCTGATCTTCACAATTGTGTGTATCCCGAACACAACCCGGTCCACACAGAATTACTGAACCTAGACTTTTTGTCTGCGCAGCGTGTCTGCGTAGAATTATGATTAATAATCAGCATAATATTATACTAATCACCATGGTGTTAAAAATGGATAACCACTGATTTATTTGAAGTCTATATTCTCAATGGTTAGTTATTCAGTAACAATAGTGACACTTTGCTGAGTACTCCTCTAAGTTGCTACATCTCATACCAGTACATAGAGAAGAGAATGACAAAGCCAAAAGATAGATAAATAAATAATTAAAACCTGAAAGCTCTTAATACATGATTGATATCAATAGCATGTTTTCATCCAGTCACTCTGCTTTCTCCACTATATTCCTACTACCACTAAGTGTATAAAAATAAACGCTTATTCAGCATAATAAATATCACCCATCTATCTCAGAAGCTCGACATCTCTAACTCTCCACTCAACTTCCACACAGCATATGTGACGGCTTCACAACTCTTCTGCCGTGCTCCCCACTGTCCAGTATGTTAGACACTTCGGACGCAATCAGATATCCCACTTGCAACAATCTAAAGAAATTAGAATGTTGGACTGAAATGAACCAGGCCAACTTGCCACTACTCGAAAAAAAAGCCATGAAAGTAGAGCAATGAAATTTAATGGGTACACAATCGAAGAAAATGTACGGCAGAAAGAACAAATGGATGAAGGTTAATTAGGACTTTCAGAGTTTGGAGGATAATAAGAAGCAAATATGTTTTTGAGGTATATCACTAAATTTTCAAACATTGATTCTTAACATTCCAAGAACACCAGTCAAGCAGTTTACACCCCCGAAAGTAGATCAAATCAGTAATCTTCACAGAATAGTCCCACGCTTTCGGCTGACGCCTAACTCTCTCCAATGTTAATCTCATGTAAGTTAACACTGCTTATCGATGAAGGTGATTTGGCATGCATAACCCACATCCTACCCATGTCAGTCAGTGGAGCTTCACAAACTCACCAACTAACTATCCCTCTTTTCCTTTCACTTTACGCCTAACATTATTATTGAACACATAACTTCACCTGACACAGACGATAATGGTCAAAAGTCGCTAACCCCCTCGTAAGTTACAGTCGTAAATGTCGTCTCAGTCGTGAAGCAGCATGGGACGAACTGCGGCACATCAAACATTGACTGATGAATAACAGGACCGAATCTGCAGCACCACTCTACATATGACAGGGTTGAGTCGCATGCCAAGTCTTTTGTATCAGAGGCGACATTTTTAATGGTCACCATCACAGTTTCAAAGCTACAATTTGTAGGCGCAATTCTAGTGTACGATTTACTAGATGACCAATTGAGCGACTAGTCAATGCAGGATTTCGCACAACTTCGAAATGTGATTCTTATCGAATGAAAAAAGTAAACATGACTAACAAATTCCCATGTATGTATACGGCTATTAATGCAGTCACTCAAGAATCGGAGACAATAAGGTTCGTAAAACCGTTTAGTCTCCGTAAAAATTAATTTCGCATTTAGAAAATTATATGATTACTGCGAGTTTTTCTCCGGAGAAACAGACCAAAGTAAAACTGGCAGTACATCTCAAACATCCCATTCAAGTAATCTAAACTTTCTCAGACTAATAACTAATCTTTTCTTTCATTGCTGAGTTGTTCAAGTCTGATGACCCTTCGCTTGCCTTCGACACTAACCTCTCAATAACATTGTTTGAGGAAGACCATAGATTGATATGCTAATCAGCTTTCTTAAGCACTTCGGTTGGTGAATATTTGCAATATACACCTACTTCTAATGACAGAATGTTTTCCAATCAAAATTCGTGAGACAGTTTTATGAGATTTTCCCAAAAGTCATCCGAACAAATCGACCATAACAATAACATTTAAAACAGTAAATTATGACACCTAATGAACCAGATTTTCTAATCTAGAATTAATCACCTTTGAATATACTAAAATGGGAACGCGAATAGCGAAGAAATTTTTCAAACAAAACAACTTTACAAAATGAGACCATAGAACGAACGACTTTACTTGTAGATAGTCGCGGAATAATCTCCAGGGTCAGAGTGCAAGTTTCTATTCACAAAATCACCAATCACATTGATAGCGACAATTCCAACCTGAATAAATAAAAAGGCACACTTAAAGGAATTACCTGGTCGTATAAATTTAAACTATTAGGGTAATTTTTATGCAAAAACAGTTGGATGAAAGATCCTGTTGCGTCAATATGAACAGACTTTAGTTCCCTAGCTTTGAACTCTGTTGTTTGATTGTCAGAAAGTGCTACATATCTGTAGAAAAAAGAATGAACTTGAAACTGAAATAACTCACCCTAATCTAGTAAATCTAGCATTTCTGAAATGACTTATGTCATCGTCTGAAGTATCCCCAACAAAAAATTCTATCTTTGAAGCTGAGAAATATAAAACCACATTCTCAAACAGACCTATGAGGTACTGGTGGGAAAGCACTTGGATTTTACGAAGACTAGCCTTTCCTTCCAGAACGAGAATAAGGTGTTGTGGGTAGGCAGGGAATCGAGACGACACCCATCCTTTGGTCGCTGGGTGGTGAATATTTAACTCTGTAGCGGGAAAATGTTCATCTTGGCTGGATACATAAACAATACGGAAAGGCAGTTTGTGTGGCATTATCCGCCAAACCTCCCTACTTTTAATTGACAACCCTGCACACAGAATCGAATAACGCGCAACCGCCTACTATTCTGATTGGAGAGACAGTTTACATAACCTGAGCAACTGCAATCGGTAAACCGAAAAAACAAAGCACACTCACATATTGAATGTCTAGTGCACTTGTTGTGTTTGATGGACTCAAATCCAGTCAAACTAATGTCCAAATGTTTTGATAGACGAATATAAAACAAGTTGTTTTTTTCTGTGGTGGGGTTATGCTTGTAGCGAACAGTTTCTTCTCTTAGAATTCTTGGTGATCAGGCTGCTATAGTTCTGGTAGGTCTTGTGGACAGTTCGGGGTCAGTCAAGTTTTAAGAAGGGTTTGCAGTTCACATCAAAAGCGCAGTGTCCCTGAGATCAGTGTTAACCAATCTTACAGCTTTGTCACCAAATATGAGGAAAGACGCTATAGTCAGTTTCAAGGTTATGATGGGTTCCTGCGTCTGCTGGTTATATGTTTTCGTGAATTCGTTTTCCACTGAATTTTAAAGGTTTTTTGAACGTTTTGCTTGTTTTGGAGTATGTAGGTCAGTTTTTTGTCACTGGATGATACTATGACATTTATTTTTAGCCTGCAGTTCCCAGTTTTTATGTTGGTAGTTAAGGATTATGGTAAATCTGCAATCATTGAGCCAATTCACGTATACTATGCTAATATAGTAACATTCCTCAGTAATTAAACGCCTTAACTATTCTGCCATTGTTGGATCAATTAGTGGTAGAACAGTTACGGATTATTTGCTTAAGGTGGAACTGTGCGCTGGTTTATCATCATGACTGGCACCAATTCAGCACCTTGTTCTTATTCTACGCATTTTCAGAAGTAGCTTATCAGCCTTATTGCAGCACTTCTAGTCCAGGTTCTGCTCCTTCCAAGCTTACCATAATGCTGAATTAAATCTCACTAATTCTAAAATAATTCCAACGTTCTATAGTAAATTCTGAATCTGTTCTTAAATAGATTCTTTAATGGCACAGTCTGGAACACAGTTGTGATTTTCAGCATGACTGACACTAATTCAACACCATGTTCTTTTTCTAGACATTTTCAGGAGTAGGTCAGAACCTACTGGTTTTGCTTATCAGCTTTATTTGAACCCTTTCAGCTCAAATAGGATTCAAAGGGAAATGCACTGAATCCTTCTAATAGCCCATGCAGCTCGATGTCATCCACTGTATGTTTCAGAAAATGAACATTGTAAACAATATGTTCATCTCCGAAACAGTTCTCATATTGCAGTAAGAAATTACTCAAATCTGTCCGAACAGCATCCAAAAACAGTCGGCTGTATTTGGTACTCGAAAGTAAGTATACTGCCAGGGAAAATTTCCTATAATTATAGTACAGGGGGGAGGCAGAATGTTCCTGAGAAGGCGACACCCAAATATAGTAGCTTTTTAGAAGGACCAGGGTGATTTCAGTACATACTGGGTTCACTTCAAGTAGATAAAATATTCATTTACCGTAAAAAGGCATTATTGACGCGTTGGTTAGACTTTGCTGAGAATTGTTGCAAGGTTGGTATTTTAAGCGTCCCAAGTTTACTAAACTAAACCTCCAAAAGTGCATTCATACCTCACAAACTTATATTCCATAGGGCCAGATGGGTCTTTTTTACCTGAATCAAGGCGGTAAGGATGTGTTGGATTCCTTTCAAAGAAATAATGAACAATTTAGTTGTTACCTACATAAATGTATCATGAGCTTGCTTAAGTTGCACCCACGTATAAAATATACAACTAAGCATTATTCTTTGGAATATGGCCATTACATCAAACAATATAGATGACACATTTCGTGTAGTAGAGGCTGCAGGAGTATCTTGTAACGTCATGTAATGGTTTTAACAATGACTAACGAACACAACATTATAATTTCAAGTAGATTAATAATAGTATATATTTCAGTGCTCATAAACCACTGTTGTGACCTAGTAAATTTAATTGATTTATGCTGACCTAACATGCACAAATCCCACAGGTCACTGAACTGACAACTTAATAAAGTGGATCAGTTAATACATATGTGGAGTCCTCAAAAATAAACTTATCCAAATTTTACTATTATGTAAAAAAATGAACATATTGTACACTACTTTGTTTTAACCAAAAGAACTCTGTACTTTGAACTTCCCCCGAGTTTTAAAAAAATATATAATTCTGCCTTCGACTCTCCGTCTTCTCCACCATCTCAACTGCCGTCGATCAATTATAACAACCTGCTTTCTATCTCGAATTTTTGCAGGAGCACCGTAGCCTCTTCCTACGCACTTTGGTCGACCTCCGGCAACATCAACACTGGAGAATTAGAACTGGAGCAGTCTTCCCGCAGCACTTCTGGAATCCAGTACGTTTATTGTGGAATTTGGATCTTTGTAAACTCAATTGATTTGGTATTTTGTTTTCTATTTGAATTTTGGGTAAATAAGCTAACAGAGAAAAAGGTCCACCACAAAGATTGGTGAGCCCGCTTCGAACATTTTTTCCTTTTCTTCGATGGTTAACCGTTTTTTTTAACATTTTTGCGATAGTTAACTCGCTTTGAACATTTTTGTTGCTATTTTGACCTTATAATCTCGCATTCCTTAATTTTTGTTACCATACCTTTTGCTATTTTGTATATCTCTATACTTAAATATTTTTTGACAATGGCTCCACCTAAACGTTCCACTGTTGCTGAAGAAGGTAATAAAGGCGAAGAGACACAGAACTCTTCTAATAACGCCTTACCGGACTTAAGACTACCTCAATTTGATCTGGCTGAACCACGTGTCTGGTTCACAATCATTGAACAGTTGTTTGCAGCTCGAGGTATTACGTCGCAGATTGCCATGTATGGTTGCGTATTAGCAGCAATACCCACGGAAGTACTACGACAGGTTATCGATGTCATAGACAGCAAGCCTACAGACTCTCAATATGACAAACTAAAAGCTGCGCTTATCCAGCGGACCACCCTCTCCGATGAAAAACGCATACAACAACTACTTACTTCGTGTGATCTAGGTACAAAAAAGCCATCCCAACTACTTAGACACATGCGCCAGTTGATTGGATCACACAAAGTAGATGACTTAATTCTACGCCAGATGTTCTTACAACGTTTACCACAAAACGTCCAACAAATCCTAACAATATCTTCTAGGACGACAGACCTTGAAGAACTAGCTAAGATGGCAGACGATATCATGGACGTGTTATCAAATAATGGCATAAATAGCGTGTCTACAGAGGTAGTACCACCAAGCCCTTCCACATCTATGAAGGACACACCAATGTTTTGGTTACTTTCCCAGTTAACATCTCAAATGCAAGACTTACGACTGGAAGTATCTGAGCTCCGAGCACAGCGGAACCAGTCACAGACAGTATCCAAGCAACGGCAACCAAGATCTAGACGACGTTCTAGAACACCGTCTCAAAGCCGTAACATTTGCTGGTATCATAGGAGGTATGGGCATAATGCCCTGAAGTGTGTCCGACCGTGCATGTACAATAGTGGTGACGCAACTCAGGGAAACTCCCTAGCCAGGCAGTAATGGCGACGGCTGTTACTGGCAATCATCCCAGTCGCCTTTTCTACGTGAAGGACTTGACTACCGGCACATTATTCCTGGTAGATACAGGCGCCGAGGTCAGTGTTATTCCCCCCCCTCACTATCCAGGCGATCAGCCAAAATACCTGGTAAACTTTCACTCCGCGCTGCCAATCAAACCAACATACAGACGTATGGTGAACAGTCAATGATTCTAAACCTAGGATTACGCCAACGTTTCACATGGATCTTCATAGTAGCTGACGTACGTCACGCTATACTTGGTGCAGACTTCCTAAGTCACTTCAATCTGCTAGTTGATATCAGCAAGAAAAAACTGATTGACAATTGCACCCAACTCAAGATCCACGGTATTACGGGTGACTACTCTGTTCATACCATCTGTATAGAAAAGCCGGAGAGTGAAATGTTCTCTACCTTATTGCAACGATTTCCGAAAATACTTAAACCGTCATACAACGTCGAAGATATATCTCATACAGTTACGCATAAAATCATCACAACGGGACAACCTGTGAAGGCACGTCCACGACGGTTACCACCAGATAAACTAGCAGCAGCTAAGTCGGAATTCGAACATATGATGCAGCTGGGCATCAGACGACCATCCAACAGTCCATGGTCTTCACCTTTGCATATGGTTCCCAAAACTAATCACGACTGGCGACCATGTGGAGATTATCTCGCTCTGAATAACGCTACGGTACCAGACCGTTATCCTATACCTCATCTCCACGACTTCTCCTTGACGTTACATGGAAAGACTATTTTTACCAAAGTTGACTTGGTTAGAGCATATCATCAAACACCAGTCGCTCCAGAAGACATTCCAAAAACAGCAATTATCTCGCCTTTTGGATTATTCGAATTCTTGAAAATGCCTTTCGGTCTAAAGAATGCCGCGCAAACATTTCAGCGTTTTATGGACCAAGTTACCCAAGGTCTTGATTTTGTCTTTGTATATATCGACGATGTCTTAATTGTCAGCTCATCGATGGAAGAACATATGGAACACTTAAGCTTGTTATTTCAAAGATTTGAACAATTTGGAGTGGTGATCAATCCAAAGAAATGTATTTTTGGTTCCCCATCCATCGAATTTTTAGGACATCGAATAACTGCCGAAGGCATCAGACCTACCGAAGATAAGATAGAAGCTATTAAGAACTTTCCTGAACCTGATTCCTTAAAGAAACTTAGACGTTTTCTCGGGATGTTCAACTTCTACCGACGTTTTATTCCATCATGTGCCGCCATAGTTCAGCCACTGACCGACCTACTTAGACGCAATTCAAAGAAATTTCAGTGGTCTGAAGAAGCAAAAGCAGCATTTTATAACGCAAAATATGCCTTATCCAACGTCGTAATGTTGTCTCATATCAATCCAAAAGCTTCACTCATTTTATGTACAGATGCATCGCAGGTAGCAGTGGGAGCAGTTTTACAACAAAAGTTCAATAATGACACCACTCCACTTGCTTTCTTCTCCAAGAAGTTGGAA